TATGAGCATATGGAGATATGGAGAAGATACCTAGTAATATACGCACATTGCCCACCTTAAAAAGCAGTTCATCAGTTTTTTAAAAGTTTAACATATCTTATAATCCAGCTACCCAAGAAAAATGAAAACATGCCCATATAGAAACTTGTACATAAATGTTTGTGGCAGCTTTATTTGTAATAATCAAAACCTGAAAGCAACCCATATGTCCATCAATGAGTAAATGTATAAACAATTTGTATATCTATGTAATAAATCCTATTCAGCAACAATTTTTTATTTTTTGTAGAGTCATGTTCTTGCTATGGTGCCTATGCTTGTCTCAAACTCCTGACCTCAAGCAACCCTCCCATCTCACTCTCCCAAAGCACTGAAATTACACAACTAACCTGGTGCCTGATATTCTCAGAAAATCTCTGGGCTATCTTATTTATCTTGTTCACTAGAGCTTGACCAGGTTACAGGTTCAACAGATGCTAAGGGCTGATGCAGAAAAAGTATCCTCTTCCTTATAAGAATAGGGGTTCCTTAAATATTTGATAACCTGAACTGAATGGGACTTAACATGAGCCAAATAAAAGATGTGAATAGATCCTGAATTAAACAACTAAAATCAAAATCACATAACCACATTTTACTTCATTAACTCACCTTTACCCTCCCTGTCTTCCAGTTAGCAATGGTAGAGCCCAGTATTGACAGAGCTCCGTTTAGAGACAAGAGTCCTCAAGGAACTGAAAAGGAAAGAGAAGCAAGGAGTGAAAGTATTGAGTATCTACTATGAAGGCTAATTCCTAAAGGAACCATAGAAGACCCTTCAGAATCCTGAACTTGAAAAATACTATATTGTTGCCCAGACAATGTGACATTTACTCATTTGTGTATGTAAAGATTGTACTAAATTGTAACTGTACAGCCACCATGGAAATGGATAACTAAATAGTGCATTAGGCTGGTAATATTACAATTCTCATAGATGGGTCTTAGAAATTCATAAACTTTCTTTCTTGTCCCACACAAGGGAAAAATATAAGGTTTTGTCAAAACACAAAACTGTGACAGAGCCAAGTTAATTTTCTACACAGATGAGTAGAATCATTTAATTTCAGGATGAGAAAGGATTTTTATACATTCAACATTCACTCACAAGGTCTTTATTGATGTACAAAGACCTGGGACAAGCTGAACAAACTAAAAAATATATATTTATCCTCTGATTGACAAAATATAAAAGACAACACTGAGTAATTTTGCACTGGTAACACAAACTTTACACAGACTGTAGTAGGTTACATATGTCAAATCCTTATCTAGAGAAGAAGGAACAATTTGGGGTGGGAGAAGAAAGTGGAGAAGATCCGAGAAATGATTATCTGAATACAAGGGGGTCTCAAACTGCAATATTGCAGCTGTGGGTTTAGGTTTCTACTTTTAAAACTAGACTATATTTTTAAATTATACTTTAAGTTCTGGGGTACATATGCAGAATGTGCAGATTTGTTACATAGATATAAATGTGCCATGGTGGTTGGCTGCATCCATTCCCCCATCATCTACATTAGGTATTTCTCTCAATGTTATCCCTCCCCATTTCTCATCCCCTGCTATCCCTCCCCTGGCCCCCACACCACCCAACAAGCCCCAGTGTGTGATATTCCCTTCCCTGTGTCCATGTGTTCTCATTGTTCAACACCCACTTATGAGTGAGAACATGCAGTGTTTAGTTTCCTGTTCTTGTGTCAGTTTGCTGAGGATGACGGTTTCCAGTTTCATCCATGTCCCTGCAAAGGACATGAACTCATCCTCTTTATAACTGCATAGTATTCCATGGTGTATATGTGCCACGTTTTCTTTATCCAGTCTATCATTGTTGGGCATTTGGGTTGGTTCTAGGTCTTTGCTATTGTAAACAGTGTGGCAGTAAATATACATGTGCGTGTGTCTTTACAATAGAATGATTTATAATCCTTTGGGTATATACCCAGTAATGAGATTGCTGGGTCAAATGGTATTTCTATTTCTAGATCCTTGAGGAATCGCCACACTGTCTTCCACAATGGTTGAACTAATTTACACTTCCACCAACAGTGTAAAGTGTTCCTATTCTTCCACATCCTCTCCTCTTTATCCAGTCTATCATTGATGGGCATTTGGGTTGGTCCCAAGTCTTTGCTATTGTAAACAGTGCTTCAGTAAACATACGTGCACATGTGTCTTTATAACAGAATGATTTATAATCCTCTGGGTATATACCCAGTAATGGGATTGCTGGGTCAAATGGTATTTCCAGTTCTAGATCCTTGAGAAATCACCACACTGTCTTCCACAATGGTTGAACTAATTTACACTCCCACCAACAGTGTAAAAGTGTTCCTATTTCTCCACATCCTCTCCAGCATCTTTTGTCTCCTGATTTTTTTCATTATTATTATACTTTAATTTCTGGGGTACATGTGTAGATTGTGCAGGATTGTTACACAGGTATACACATGTCATGGTGGTTTGCTGCATCCATCCCCCCCATCATCTACATTAGGTATTTCTCCTAATGTTATCCCTCCCCAATCCCCCCAACCCTGCTGTCCCCCCCCAGCTCTCCCACCCCCAACAGGCCCCAGTGTGTGATATTCCCCTCCCTGTGTCCATGTGTTCTCATTGTTCAACGCCCACTATGAGTGAGAACATGCAGTGTTTGGTTTTCTGTTCTTGTGTCAGTTTGCTGAGAATGATGGTTTCCAGCTTCATCCATGTCCCTGCAAATGACATGAACTGATCCTTTTTTATGGCTGCATAGTATTCCATGGTGTACATGTGCCACATTTTCTTTATCCAGTCTATCATTGATGGGCATTTGGGTTGGTCCCAAGTCTTTGCTATTGTAAACAGTGCCACAATGAACATACATGTGCATGTGTCTTTATAATAGAATGATTTATAATCCTTTGGGTATATACCGAGTAATGGGATTGCTGGTTCAAATAGTATTTTTATTTCTAGATCCTTGAGGAATTGCTACATTGTCTTCCACAATAAGAAACTATCATTAGAGTGAACCGGCAATCAACAGAATGGGAAAAATTTTTACAATCTACCCATCTGACAAAGGGCTAATATCCAGAATCTACAAAGAACTTAAACAAATTTATAAGAAAAAAATAGCCCCATCAAAAAGTGGGAGAAGGATATGAACAGACACTTTTCAGAAGAAGACATGAGGCATCCAACAAACATATGAAAAAATGCTCATCATCACTGGTCATTAGAGAATTGCAAATCAAAACCACACTGAGATACCATCTCATGCCAGTTAGAATGGCAATCATTAAAAAACCTGGAGACAACAGATGCTGGAGAGGATGTGGAGAAATAGGAACGCTTCTACACTGTTGGTGGGAGTGTAAACTAATAGACTATATTTTTTTATTTTTGTATTTCTTTTATTTTCCTTTTGATTTTCTTTTATTTCAGTACAGTTACTTTAGAAAGTTCCAGCCTGTTTCTACTTGCTAAGATTAAACTGGGGTGGGGAGTTGGGGAGGGATAACATGGGGAGAAATGCCACATATACATGATGGGGAGGAAGGCAGCAAACCACATTGCCATGTATGTACCTATGCAACAATCTTGCATGTTCGTTACATGTACCCAAAAACCCAAAATGCAATAAAATATATATTTTTTTAAAAAAAGATTAAACTGAAAGGGCCAGGTGCAGTGAGTGGTTCATGCCTGTAATCCCAGCACTTTGGGAGGCCAAGGCAAGCAGATCACCTGAGGTCTGAAGTTTGAGACCAGTCTGCCCAACAGGGTGAAATCCCATCTCTACTAAAAATACAAAAAGCTGGCCATGTTGGTGCACACTTGTAATCCCAGCTACTTGGGCAGCTGAGGCAAGAGAATCTCTTCAACCCGGAAAACAGCAGTTGCAGTGAGCAGAGATCATGCCACTGCACTCCAGCCACTCCAGCCTGGGTAACAGAGTGAGACTCTGTCTCAATGAAAGAAGAAAGAAAAGAAAGAAAGAAAGGAAGAAGGGAAGGAAGGAAGGAAGGAAGGAAGGAAGGAAGGAAGGAAGGAAGGAAGGAAGGAAGAAGGAAGGAAGGAAGGAAGGAAGGAAGGAAGGAAGGAAGGAAGGAAGGAAGGAAGGATAAACTGAAGGAAAGTGTTTATTTTGTTGGTTCTTGGACCACAGATAAAGGAAGAGTAGCCAGCCTCTGCAGGCCTTGCAGGCAGAAATTAAAGTTGCCCTAGAACAACAAAAACTTAGAAGAAAAGCATTCAGATTGCTACTCCCTCAAGAAAGCCCATCTCTGCTCATTTCTTGGAGATTTGTTATACTTTGTTAGATTATTAAATATAATTTAATTGAAGAGAAAAGATACATACTTACGAAAAGTTAACTATACAAGACTAGAAAACAGTTGATCTCCAAAAGTATATAATATACGCCAAATTAGCTATATAAACATTAAGTGCTATTATAGTTTGTAAGGAGAAGAGTGCAGGGTTCTTTAAGCCATTCTACCTTTAAAGAAAACTATTTCTAAGCCATCCCCAACAGATATATTTGATATTGATATTTTTAATGTTCTAACTCCTTTTACTAGCAATCCAGATCCTTGGATATAAAGTTCCAAATTACTTCCCCTCTTAACTTTATAACAAAGTGTTTAGAAGAGAAGATAGAGGAAATATCCTGATTTCATAGAGAGAGGAGTATTTTATAATAGTGTGGTCATTTTTAGATACAGAAGTAACATGCACACAGCAGCAAACATCTGTGACCAGCCCTTGTCTGTATTCCAAGTTTTCCCCTGGGGATGTAGAAACAGATGGAAGAAAAAGGAGACACAGAATTCAATGACTAGCCCTAAATCTCTCAGTAAAGCTTTGATGCCCCGTCACACACTCTGGGTCTGTAAATAAGGCTGCTAAGCCCTCATGACCCTTCTGGACTGCTTCTACAGTTGCTAACTTCCTTTTCTATCTTATGATTTCAGCTTGGGCTTCCTCTGATATTACACCATAAAAAGCGCTGAACACTGTAAGAAGGAACATTTGTGAAGGTACTACAGTGCCAGAAAGAGGTATGCCTGAATTTTTCAAATGAACCTTGCTTTTTCAACTTGCAATTATCTTAACAAAGTAACTTACTTCATTATTCTCACAAAAATAAAATAAATTCTATTTATGTTTGTTGCTAGCTTTTATTAACTCCATTTGTTTTCTGCTAAAATGGCTTTTACAATACTGTATTGTAACCTCTTCACGCTTCTTAGCTATCATTCCTATCCCCCACCAGAAAATGAGCCACTTGAAGGCAGGGATGAGGTCTTAAGGATTTTAGATTTCCAAAGAAACTCTCTGTATTCATCTAGTGGAGGGTAACATTATTGGGTTATCACAGCAAATTCTAAAAAACAAATTAAATGCTGTTTCAGACAAGAAAAGCCATAATCTGTGAAATGAGTGGCTTGTACCAAATGATCTCTACCATTCTAGGATTCACTACTTGTTTGAAAGTTTTACAATCTTTTTATGGCTTAATACAAATTGTTGACTTCATTATAAATAAACAACTGAACCTAAATATCAAAATTTTTAGAAAAGCTTATTTTGGTCTGCAAGGACTGGGAAGTTATTAATGAGGCTAGAGACCATTTGTTCCTTTGTATATTTTTATAATTTTTTATCAGCTTTATTTAGCATCTTTCAAAGATGTGAGAATTTCCAATTTAATTATAACATGTAATGGACAAATGACTAGTCTATATCAATGATATGGGCGGGAATTTTTATTTTTTAGATACAGGGCCTCACTGTTTTGCCCAGGCTAGTCTCAAACTCCTGAGCTCAAGCAATCCTCATGCCTCAGCCTTTTGAGTAGCCAGGATTACAGGCACGTGCCACTGCAACAGACATTATCTGTGTTTTTAACATTACGGTTAGCCTTATGCCTTAGTACTCTCCTTGATACATTAGGAAGCAACTTTACTTACACAGCAACTTCAGACGCTAACACTGGAAAGATTTTAATTTGTATTGGAATGAGAAGGTAACTCCAAATGGTTTTAAATAACAAATAATACCTTCAAATGTTAAATTTGTCCCATAATTAATTTAGTCATTCACTCAACACTTACTGAGTACTTATGGGCAAGATACATATGTGCTAGGCCCTGTGTGGGATGCTTTTTTATATATCAACCAGATAGTCTGGAGGATAAGATATTTATACAAATCAAGATTTGCAAGATTTAAGTTTCTGTAGAAGTTCTTCAAAGATAGAAATTACTTCAGATAGAGGGTGAGGGAAGACTTAGTCAAGAAAATGTAATTTGAGCTGAATGATGGGTCATTTTTGCATATGCAAGGAAGGAGGAAACGGAATTTCAGGAAGGAGGAAAGACCATTTCAAGAAGAAAAAGACTATGGAAAAAAAGACAGCCTGGTGGGAAATCTTATGGCACATGTTGCTGGTATACTAAAATAGTTGTTTCTTTTTTTTTTTTTTTTTTTTTTTTTGAGAAAAAGTCTCACTCTGTCACCCAGGCTGGAGTGCAGTGGCATGATCTTGGCTCACTGCAACCCCCGCCTCCCAGGTTCAGGCAATTCTCCTGCCTCAGCCTCCTGAGTAGCTGGGATTACAGGCGTGTGCCACCACGCCCAGCTAATTTTTGTATTTTTAGTAGAGACGAGGTTTCACCATGTTGGTCAGGCTGGTCTTGAACTCCTGACCTTGTGATCCACCAGCCTCGGCCTCCCAAAGTGCTGGGATTACAGGCATGAGCCACTGCACCCAGCCTTGTTTCTTCTAACTATACTGTGTACAAAAGAGAGAAGTGAGAGAGAAACTTGGTAAGGTAAATTGCACCCAGACTGTAGAGAGCCTTATATATCAGCCCAAGAAGTCTAGATGTTATTCTGAAGGCATTCAGAAATCACTAAAGATTTTAAGAAAGACATGATAGATTGAGGTTGATGGTGGTGGAAGGGTTGCTGGTAATTATCTAATGCCTTTCAAGTGTGGTTCATCTATAACATGAACAAGTCCTGAGGAGTTAATGTACAGCATAATGGCTATAGTTAATATTATATTTTTTACTTGAAATTATTATATTATTTACTTGAAATTTGCTAAGGAAGATCTTAATTGAAAACCACAATGAGATACCATCTCATACCAATTTGAATGGCTACTAAAAAAACATAAGGTAGGCTAGGCACGGTGACTCATACCTGTAATCCCAGCATGTTGGGAGGCCAAGGTGGGTGGATCACCAGAGGTCAGGAGTTCAAGACCAGCCTGGCCAACATGGTGAAACCCAGTCTCTACTAAAAAATAATACAAAAATTAGCCAGGTGTGGTGGCACACGCCTGTAATTCAGGTTATTCAGGAACCTGAGGTGGGAGAATAGCGAAAGCAGTGTGGCAATTCCTCACAGAGCTAAAAACAGAACTGTCATTCCACTCAGCAATTCCATTATTGGGTATATACCCAAAGGAATATAAATCATTCTACCATAAAGACGTATGCATGCATATGTTCACCACAGCACTATTCACAATTGCAAAGAAATAGAATCAACCTAAATGTCCCTCAATAGAAGACTGGATAAAGAAAATGTAGTACAGGCCGGGCGCGGTGGCTCAAGCCTGTAATCCCAGCACTTTGGGAGGCCGAGGCGGGTGGATCACGAGGTCAAGGGATCGAGACCATCCTGGTCAACATGGTGAAACCCCGTCTCTACCAAAAATACAAAAAATTAGCTGGGCATGGTGGCGCGTGCCTGTAATCCCAGCTACTCAGGAGGCTGAGGCAGGAGAATTGCCTGAACCCAGGAGGTGGAAGTTGCGGTGAGCCAAGATTGCGCCATTGCACTCCAGCCTGGGTAACATGAGTGAAACTCTGTCTCAAAAAAAAAAAAAAAAAAAAAAAAAAAGAAAATGTAGTATGTATACATCATGGAATACTATGCAGCCATAAAAAAGAATGACAATATGTCCTTTGCAGGAACATAGCTGGAGCTGGAGGCCATTATCCTTAAGCAAACTAATGCAAAAACAGAAAACCAAATACCACATGTTCTTACTTATAAGTGGGAACTAAATGATGAGAACGCATTGACACAAAGAGAACAGCAGACACTGGGGCCTACCTGAGGGTAGAGGCTGGGAAGAGGGAGAGGATAAGAAAAATTCATTAATATGTATTGGGCTTAATATCTAGGTGATAAAATAATCTGTACAACAAATTATTGTACAGATTTTTAAAAACACATGACATAAGTTTACCTATATAACAAAAGCTAAACCTAAAATAAAAGTGAAAAACAAAGTAGATCTTAAGCATTTTTAACACACATAAACACACATACATACACACTCACACACACAAATGGTATATGAGGTAATGAATGTGTTCATTTACTTTGTTAGGGAAATTATTTCACAGTGTATACTTACATGAAATCATCATATCGTATATATGGAATTTCTGTTTGTCAATTATATCTCAATAAAGCTGAAAAAGGGCTATTACCAAAAATTTCAACAGCACCATCTAGTGCATCACAGGATAAATACTGCCCAATTGGGAAAAAAACACTTGACACAGAACTAAGAAAAAGATTAACTTTAGGTAGTTTTTTCCTTCCACAACAGCACCTGAATTCACAACCAGTGGTGAATGAAGCAGGTAACTAGAAAGAAAATTGAGAAATAATGCAGAAGTTTGGAATAGGAGTCTCATTTTCCTCTATGGCCTCAGAATGATTCTTCTTCAATTTTGGGGAGTAGGGAAAATTCAGGGACTACACGTGCAGGTTTGTTACATGGGTATATTGTGTGACACTGAAGATTGGGGTATGAATGGTTCCACCAACGAGGTAGTGAGTATAGTGCCCAATAGGCAGTTTTCCAGCCCATAATCCCCTCCCTTTTATCCTACCTCCTATAGTAGTCTCCAATATATACTGTTCCCATCTTTATGTCCATAGGTACCCAATGTTTAGCTCCCATTTACACGTGAGCACATGCAGTATTTGCTTTTCTGATCCTGCATTAATTTGCTTAGGATAATGGCCTCCAGATGCATACATGTTGCAGCCAAGGACATTCTTTTATGCTTTTATTTATGGCTGCCTAGTATCAAATGGCATATACATACCACATTTTCTTTATCAGTCCACCATGGATGAGCATCTAAGTTGATTCCATGTTTTTGCTATTGTGAATTGTGCTATAATGAACACAGGAGTATATGTGTCTTTATAAAAGAACAGTTTATATACCTGTGGGTGTTTACCCAGTAATGGGATTGTTTGGCTAAAATGGCAGTTCTGTTTTAAGATTTTTCAGAAATCTCCAAACTGCTTTCCATAGTGGCTGAACTAATTCACATTCCCACCAGCAATATATAAGTGTTCCCTTTTCAGAACCTCACCAACATCTAGTATTTTTTGTTACTTTTGAATGACAGCAATTTTCACTGGTCTGAGATGGTATCTCATTGTGGTTTTAATTTGCATTTCTCTGATGATTGGTGATGTTGAGCATTTTTTTACATGTTTGTTGGCTGCATCTATGTCTTGTCTTGAGAAGTGTCTGTTCATGCCCATTGCCCATCTTTTTAGTGAGGTAGTTTTTTGCATGTTGCTCTAAGTTTCTTGTAGATTCTGGATATTAGATCTTTGTTGGATGGATAGTTTGCAAATATTTTCTCCCATTCTGTAGGTTGTCTGTTTACTCTGTTAATAGTTTCTTTTGCTGTGCAGAAGCTCTTTTGTATAATTAGATCCCAATTGTTAATTTTTGTTTTGCTGCTCTTGACATCTTTTTCATGAAATATTTGCTAGGTCGTATGTTGAAAATGGCATTTCTCAGGTTTTCTTTTAGGGTTTTTATAGTTCTAGGTCTAATGTTTAAGCCTTCATTCATCTTTAGTTATTTTTTTGTGTGTGTGTGGTAAAAGGATGGGTCCAGATTCAACCTTCTGCATAAGGCTAGCCAGTTATCTCAGCACCATTTTTTGGATAGGAAGTCCCTTCTCCACGGCTTGTTATTGATGACTTTGTTGAATATCAGATGGTTGTAGGTGTGCAGATTTATTTCTGGAATCCCTATTCTGTGTCATTGGTCTATGTGTCTTTGTACCAGTATTATGCTGTTTGGTTACTCTAGCTTTGTACTGTAGTTTGAAGTTGGATAGTGTGATGGCTCTGGCTTTGTTCTTCTTGTTTAGTTTGCTTTGGGTGTTCAGGCTCTTTTCTGGTGTCAGATGAATTTTAGAAGTGATTTTCTTAATTCTGTGAAAAGCAATGTTGGTAGTTTCACAGAAATAGCATTAAATCTGTAAAGGGGCAGTATAGCCATTTTGACAATATTGATTCATCTCATTCATGAGTATAAAATGTTTTTTCATTTGTTTGTGTCATATCTGGTTTCTTTGATCAGTGTTTTGTAATTCTCATTGTAAAGTCTTCCACCTCCTTTTTTAGCTGTATTCCTAAGAACTTTATTCTTTTTTCAGCTATTGTAAATGAGCTAGTGTTCTTGATGTTTTCTTCCATGTTGCTTGAACTCTCTCTCCCTATTTTTCTGGTCTTGCCAATGAGTCATGAGTTCAGTCTATTTACATAATCCCATTATTTCTCAGAGGTTTTGTTCTTTCTTCTTTTTTTCTTTTTTTTTTTTTTTTTTTTTGTCTGAGTTATTTCTGAGAATTGGTCTTTGAGCTCTGGGATTCTTTCCTCACATTGGTCTATTCTCCTGTTAATATTTCCATTTGTACTATTAAAGTCTTGAAGAAAGTTATTCAGCTCTAGAAGATCAGTTTGGTTCTTCCTCAAAATGGCTATTTTATCTTTCAGCTCTTGTATCATTTTATTGGATTCATGAGCTTCTTTGAATTGGGTTTCAACTTACTCCTGAATTTCAATGAACTTTGTTGCCATACAGATTTTGAATTCTATGTCTGTCATTTCAACTCTTTCAATCTGGTTAAGAATCATTCCTAGAGAGCTAGTTTGATTATTTGGAGATAAGAAGATACTCTGGATTTTAGAGTTGTCAGAGCTCTCCCACTGGTTCTTCCTTGTTTATATGGGCTGATGTTCCTTTAAGGTTTGAAGTTGCTGTCCTTTGCATACGGGTTTTTGCTTTTATATTCTTTGATGCCCTTGATGGTTTGACTGATGTAACTTAAGTTTAGTCAATTGACTTTGTTTCTGGATAATTTCAGGGGTCCAAGGTTCAGCTCAGTCCTCCTGAGCTGTGTGCTTATCTTTGGTGGGCTGGGACCAGGCCCACAGTTTTTTTCTCTGGTCCCTCAAGATTAAGAACCTGCTGTTCTGGAGGAACCAAGGTGTTCCCAGTCTACTGACAACAATACATCAATAGGGACTGCCAGCAAAAGCACTTCAGGGGGTGATGGTGGGGTGGCAGTGGGGTCTGTGCACATGTGCTGGTAAAGTGGTGGGGAGAGGCTGCAGGCAATTGTATGCTAGTGGCAGTCCACCTACAAAAGCTCTCTGACTGTTATGCAGGAAAAGAACTATGGTGAAAGAACCACGGTGGTAGCTGCTAGCAAGTTCTTTGGCTGGGCAGCTGAAGCTGTGCTCCAAGCAGGTCTGGCCAGACAGGGACCCTGCGAGAGTCCTGTAGACAAGGGGGTCCTCAGATCAGGCTAGCCCTATCCTATGAGCAAGATAGTCCTGCTCTGTCCAGTTCTGGCAGCCAACAAAAGATGAAGCCACCTAGAGGAGTATGGTGATCCTTGAGATATGTGTAACCATGACCATGTTCCACTATAGCCATTCTGGTGCCAAACACTCTGGACTCTGTAAAGGCTGGATTTCTGTCTCTGCCAGCTCTCTGAGCAGTTCTTCCTGCCAGCTCAAATGTCCATGGGGGTCATGGGGTTTCCTGTAGCTAAGATTCCAAATGCCCATGGCCCAAATGTCCTTTTCTACTCCAAGCCTATTTCACTCATCTCTTCCCCAGGAGCTGCTCTGGGCCAGGAATTAGTCCTAGTACTGGGTATGCCTGTGCAGTATTCTCACCTTCCTCCCATTTCAGCCCAGGGTCTGCATCCTCCATCTGTCCACTTTCAATGCCTTTTTTCCAAGGATCAATTTGGAGTGTTCCAATCTTCATCACGGTCTGGTCTTTTGGTGGAAGTTCTTTCTGCCTGCATCTAGTTGGCCATCTTGGCTCAGAAAATCCATCCAATTTTTATCTTATACCAAATTTCTTGGTAAATAATAATAATAATAAAATTTTTTAATGAAAGGAAAAAAATGGAACAACTAGATGGGATGGTTAGTTGGATGGATGCTACATCCTCAATAGCAAATATAATTGTTAGCAGTAGTAAATTTGGGAAGTTACATCTCACCTGCCACAACTACCATAGCTATCTGTTTCTGTATCCTTAGTAAAGATCAGTCCCCTTCATGGCTGGCAGTTTTTGTATACTCAAGTAGTCTTCCCACCTTACAAACCCCAACACCTCTCTCACCAGGGAGCAGGAGTTGTGTAAAAGGTCAACATCAGACTTTCAATAGAAGATTGTCTGATATATATTGAGTTCCTTCAACCTTTATAAAGAATTAAAGAGAATAATATAGAGAAAAAAAGAAAGAAATCACTACTCCTACACTACAGTATCTCACCTCAAGCCCTCTCTGATCAGAACTTGTTGACTGCCCTCAGTGACAGAGCTGAAATAGACTAGAGCACGTATAAACTATAAGAGATATTCTTCTTATAAGAGAAATAACTGTATATTGCTAAACAGTAGAAGTCTAGAAAGTCTAGAAAGAGAACAAAAATGAACGGCTACAACATATTTCTTACCCAACAAGTATATTCCAACTAGTTGTACTACATCTTTCTTCAGAGCCTTAATGGTACAGATTTTAGAAATGTACTTTATCACTCTGAAACATTTTTGCCATCATTAAAATAACTAGGTGGCTTCTAAGGTTTCTCTAGCCATGGCGTTCTGCAGTTATAGATAGAGTCAACCATGTTGTAGATTAATCATCTTCCCCAGGGAAGGGAGCTTCATCAACAGCAAATTAGATTATTTCCATAGGTATGGGCAGCACTCAACAGATGTTACCAAGAAAGCCCTCTTCTTGAAGGAACCAAGTATTTTCAGTCAGATTTTATTCTCTAAAATAATTCAGAGATTTTCCAGTAGATAGATAGATATAGACACAGATATATTCATACATGTGAAACTGCTATCTTAAAGCTTTTCTCTAATAGAAAAACAAGCTCATTTGAAAGGAAAATATACCAAATTGTACTAGAGTAGTATGATTTAAAATACAGGAGGGCTGTTTTACCTAGGTCTTGAAGATTTAGAGGAAGACCATCAGAAAAACATGGATAGGAAAGGAGGAAAAAAGGGCTTCCTGGATGCCTGTAGGACAAAAACTCTTCTCCTGAGGAAAAGGTAGAGCTGAATCCCTCCTCATTGCCTCACTACACTCACTTCCTGCTGTGGTCAAAAACTGTACATAGTGACACTATGAAATGAAACATTAGTACTTCCTGTAATTTATGGTCTGGTTAAAATTGACAATTTTTTTTTATATATTGTAGGCAAAAACCAGACATTCCTAGAGAAACATGGATGAAACCGGAAACCTGACAGCATCTTCTGCCACATGCCATGACACTATTGATGAATTCCGCAATCAAGTGTATTCCACCTTGTACTCTATGATCTCTGTTGTAGGCTTCTTTGGCAATGGCTTTGTGCTCTATGTCCTCATAAAAACCTATCATGAGAAGTCAGCCTTCCAAGTATACATGATTAATTTAGCAATAGCAGATCTACTCTGTGTGTGCACACTGCCTCTCCGTGTGGTCTATTATGTTCACAAAGGAATTTGGTTCTTCGGTGACTTTTTGTGCCGCTTCAGCACCTATGCTTTGTATGTCAACCTCTATTGTAGCATCTTCTTTATGACAGCCATGAGCTTTTTCCGGTGCATTGCAATTGTTTTCCCAGTCCGGAACATTCATTTGGTTACACAGAAAAAAGCCAGGTTTGTGTGTGTTGGTATTTGGATTTTTGTGATTTTGGCCAGTTCTCCATTTTTAATAACCAAGTCACACAAAGATGAGAAAAATAATACCAAGTGCTTTGAGCCCCCACAAGACAATCAAACTAAAAATCATGTTTTGATCTTGCATTATGTGTCATTGTTTCTTGGCTTTATCATCCCTTTTGTTATTATAATTGTCTGTTACACAATGATCATTTTGACCTTACTAAAAAAATCAATGAAGAAAAATCTGTCAAGTCATAAAAAGGCTATAGGAATGATCATGGTCGTGACAGCTGCCTTTTTAGTCAGTTTCATGCCATATCATATTCAGCGTACCATTCACCTTCATTTTTTACACAATGAAACTAAACCCTGTGATTCTGTCCTTAGAATGCAGAAGTCAGTTGTCATAACCTTGTCTCTGGCTGCATCAAATTGTTGCTTTGATCCGCTCCTATATTTCTTTTCTGGGGGTAACTTTAGGAGAAGACTGTCTACATTTAGAAAGCATTCCTTGTCCAGCATGACTTTGCCCAGGAAGAAAGCCTCTTTGCCAGAAAAAGGAGAAGAAATATGTAAAGTATAGTTTAAACCTATTTCCAGTCCAAACCAATGAGAACAGTTTCCCAAATGAGTACTTTCTCAAATCATTTAAATAAAATACAATTTTGTATTAATATTTCATGAATACTTAACTATATATGCCTACAAATCTATCTCATTTATGCATTCACATTACTAGATATTTGTAGATATTTTAAATGCTAAAAATTCAGACCATGACTAAGAACTAAATTATAGATAATTTTGAC